GGGGTCCTGTAGCTGAAATATTGCTTAGTGGGGCCTAAAGCAACAAACAAACTTGTTTACGATTCTTATGATCTAATCGAGTCCATGCCCTACTGATCACACTTTGGCTGACATCAACAATGTTTGCAAAGTGACGTTATGTTAACCTAGTTTCAAGCATGCCGATGTATCAGCCTTATTGTGCTGTCGTGGAACGTCCTCTTTGACGCTGAGGGGGCATAAGTGCATTCAGTTTGCAAACCTTAATAGGAAATGTCGTGATCTAGTATAATGCATATGCATTCGTGATCTCGTATAATGATGTGCAGCGTTTCTGTTACGATACACCCAAACACAGGTTTGCAAGCACCTCATGCACATGGTCCATGACAGAATGCCTCTCTCCCCTTTAGGGGTTCCCCAGTCATCATATACCAGGATATGTCAATCGTTATTTGTTGGATAATTTTTTTATATCACCAAAACTTGAACCTTAACAAACTTTAAGTAATATAAATTGAATATTGCTATTTAGATCCATTGTATCAATTCAATGTGTTTAGCAACCCAAACACGTAAATCGAAACCGTCACCATTGAAAACACAACTATTGTCAATACATCCTTAGTTTACCCGTGTCGGGAACTTCCTCCGTGATTGTTAGATATCTTTACAATCAAGCATGACGACGTGGTAAAAATAACCGAGCATAAATCCCCGAGCTAGTCGGAACAAGTTTGAATTCAATGTAAGAGTGAAACATCTATAGTCATATCGTTTTGACATTTTAGATAATACCTGGGTGTAAGCTCAAACCATGGTGGAATGTCGGCATATTGAATGCAAATACGTGTGTCAGTTGAGTCACAGAGGCCAAGCTATTTAATAGTTTTTTTCGTTGTGTAACGCCACACCCACATCCTGACTTAGAAACCTATCCAGTTTATCCGAATTTAGTCGCCACTTACGACCTTTGTTTGGGAGCTGGGACCTGTTTGATCAGGAATTCCAGCATTGCCCTCGCAACACGAACTTGTATGATTTATAGTGCTAGCTCACTGAGATACTATGCCGCAGTTTAACATGAATACCCTACTCAGACACAGTATACTGACTCCGAGCCGACTAGTCCTTGCTTTAGCCCCTTAAAGCCGAGCGCCAGACAGGGTAACAACACGTACCATCTTTTAACGTCTTTTGGTATGGCGCGGCCGGGGATCGAACCCCGGACCTTCCGCTCTCCATGCGGACGCTCTACCAGTAGACCACGGAGGCGGTCTGTAATAAATTAGTTTTGTAAAGTACTGCATTTTTTTTTTCGACGGTATGTAATGGCGATTTACACGGCGGTATGGACGAACCGACAGTGCAGATTATCAGGACGTTTATGGCACTGATTGACAGAATCTATTCTAATCTAAGATATGGAAATAAAGCTACGTACGTCAACACCAGCGTGTTACAAATTACGTTGTTATGTCAACATTGTGTAGTTGCCTACCAGTTGACGTCCATGCTCGCCCGTTTCGAATGATAAATTATGTTCGTGTTCGTGTGAATTGATTGCCCCCACCGCTGCACATTTTATCGCAAAAGGAGATTTAAAGTTTATGGCCACAACATCGGAACGAGAGTTGACGCAACACAGTATGGCAAGGTAAGTAGGTACTCGGCCCAGTTTCTGTCGACGAAACAGGCGATACACAAAATTTACAACTACTGAAAACATCAACTTCTAATCTTATAGATCATATTTTTTTGCATTTGAGATATCCACTCATGGATACCATACACTGGGATAATGGCGCCGATTTGTATGTCCCGTGTGTCTATTGTACATCTGACACTATGGTACTGTGATCGTACAATATACAGATGCATTATTATTATTATTATTATTATTATTATTATTATTAATAATAATAATAATAATAATAATAATAATAATAATAATAATAATAATAATAATAATAATAATAATATTATTATTATTATTATTATTATATAGTATATTATAATACACATAATAAATTTCCTCAGAAAATAAAATATTACCAGAAGTCGATAGGATGCGTCATTTCAACATTCAGCTGTGTATACTCTGCAGAAAAAGAAACGCATAAGTAGTAAAATTGTAAATATCTGACAGGGTATAGCCGACAATCATACAAAATTAATACCAAAAAGGAATTGGACAGTCCTGCATAGATTTGCATTGACATGTGTCGAAAGAATGAGGTATTGCAGAAATTTTGTTTCAAATATTATCTGTAGTGTCAGCAATTAGCAAATGCTTTGTGTCTTTGGATCACCGATTTAGAATCAAGGCTAAAACGGTCGGTGATTTTCCGCTTCTGTGAATTTGCTGTCTGGACAGTTATTCGTGGTTTGACCTCGCATGTTGTGACGTGAATGGCGTCACGTCAAGCAGCTGATCAGTGTCGTCGGCGTATCATGCACACACGTGGTTTTAATTTCTAAATAATAATAATATTTTCTTTGACTGAACAAAAAAAGAAGTGCATCATGATTGGAAAGATTGGTAATATTATTCATTTACAAAAAAATATCTTTAATCAAAAACAATTGAAAAAAGATAAATCCTATCTAAGACTAGAGCAAGATGAATGCATTCTTGTGGATATACAGATGGGTATTTATCTCATAATCTAAAATTATATCTGTTCCCTCGTTTCTCCAGTTTGCTTGGCCAAAAGGAACATAAAATAGAAACTAATACACAATTGCTGAAAACCAATGACGATTTTGCTAGTTTTATTTTCGTAGTTAAATTTAAACTAGTTCGTCTTCAGATAACAGTTATAACCAATAATTTCCTTAAATTATTTTGTCTATGAATGTTATCTCTTTGACACGTCTAATGTCATGGGCTGAACGGGAAACTCTGCCTGGAATGTCTCGTAAGTCCCTCAATGTACATGTATACCAAGTTGTTCATGCTCCAGTGGGTGACAGCTTTATGTGTTGTTATCCTGCTTGGTGCCCGGCATTAAGGGGCTAAAACAAGGACCACGTCCGCATCCTGTGTCTTGAGTGGGGTATTCATGTTTTACTGCAGCATGGATATCTCTGTGGCCTGGCACTATGAAATCGGCATCAGTCAAGACTAGTACACACAGACACATTGACACACAGACACACAGACACACACACACACAGACACACACACACACACACACACACACACACACACACACACACACACAAACACACAAACACACAAACACACACACAAACACACACACAAAGCGTCGTCATGCAATAAATCACAGGTTTTCTGACCGAGATCCGATAATAAAATGTACAGTCTATAGAGATAGGAGCGAATGAGTAGCCTAGTGGTTTAACCTTTCGCTGGTCACGCCCACATCGAGTCCCCTGATGGGTACAAAGCGTCGAGCCCATGGTGTCACCCACCAAGATATGACTAGAATATGGCTACAAGCGGCGCAAAAATATATACCCACGCTTACAGTGACGTAAAGCGAGAAACAAATTGAAAGGCTTTGTCCACGAACAATGGATATTAGAGTGCAAAGGTCATCGACGTTTGTCGGGAGTTTGTACTGAAGTGTATGTATATATATCTATTATGTTAGTATACAACATCCGCGTTTGTGAAGAATGCTACTTCCTAGTCGCTTTGTCCAATAACTCATAGCGTATAAATACGCGAAAACGATTAGACTGTAATACTGTTGGGATTTCCCACCGGTCGAAAGCTGTTTCAGCGAACCGTAAGCGAGTACCAGTGAATGAAATCAGACGGATGGGTGTTCAACATCCTCATCTCGTGTGATGCGTGTTCATTGTGTATGCCAACAACCTTGTAGCATGTGAGGGTTCCGGCGAGGTGACACAAATCACCTGTCAGTATAATATCATTTTGGAAAGGGATTGATTTTTGAATAATGTATAATTGATGAAATGCTACACATTGTATTTTATTTGAAATGTGAATAAACATATAAAAAACAAATAAATAGAAAAATAAAAAATAAAAATAAAATAATATAATTTGGGTGTTTAGTCGTCAGTCACATTTCGGCTTTGTCAGGAGAAACGTCTCGAACAGGTTTTTCCAATCATAGTTAGGCAGTTGATTTGAATGGTGTTATAAAATGTATGTTACATGATGAATAACTGTACATTTAGACTATTTAAAGCAAATGTTATTGACATTTAACGTTGATATTTAACGAATTGTTTTGTTTTACTCATCTTATGTTACCAATAGTTTATTTTAGTTGATTAACGCTGAGCAGTATACTCCATCAGGACCCTCCTTTGAAGGTTTCAATGAGATGCCATTTCATTGCATTGTCGTACATACTTAAAGATGTGTCATTCATACAATAGATGATGTGAGCTGATGTCATTTTGTGATAGGAAAACACAGAAACTGCTTCAGGAGTTTCTAAAGAAAGTGTATGTGTAATATACAGGATGGTCTATATTCACCCCTTCAATTAATCTGCCACTCGTGCTATAATCATAATACAACATTACTCGGTAGTAATTACGAATGTATAAAACTGTATATCTCTCATATAGACAGGAAGACACAATACATGGTTCCCCGATGCTTTCTTGTGGTGAAGCGTCCGCATGGAAAGCTGAAGGTCAGGGGTGCGATCGCCGTCCGTCATACCACAAGACTTTAAAAGATGGTACTTGTTGTTACCCTGCATGGCGCCCGGCATTAAGGGTCTAAACACAAGGATCGGTCGGCTCGAGTCAGTATTCTGTATCTGAGTGGGGTATTCGTGTTAAACTGCGGCATGGTATATCAGTGGCCCATCTCACTCACACACACACACACACACACACACACACACACACACACACACACACACACACACACACACACACACACACACACACACACACACACACACACGACGTTAAACCCCATTTCAAGTTCCAAGATGACGGATGTCTTTTTTAGCTTTTCGTGCATTCGAACTGCATATAAATAAATTCCCACCGTCACATTGCAGGATGAAGGAGAAGATGATACCTTATTCTGATACATAACAAGATTCGACATGGACCCATCTACCATTCTGAAGAAGGGCCTCCCCATGCTGCAGCGACAGCTACAGCCGGAGGAAGTACTTGACCACCTGCTTTCTGTGGATCTTCTCAGTCAGGTGGAGTATGACCGATGCAGGGACATGAAGGTCAAGTGTGACCAGACCAGGGAGTTGGTCATGCTGCTAATGTGCAAGGGGGAGCAGGCATACAAGGAATTCTGTATTGTTCTGAACAAGGATCAGCGCCATGTCAAGCAGGCATTGGATGACATAGCACTTGGGACAGGTATGTATTGTCAGATTCGATTGTGTGTAGCAATCATTGGGACACCTATCATCTCGAAAAAGAGCAGATGTGGAGTTAAAAGACGTAAATGTGTAGTCATTGACAAACAATCAATTGTATGGCTTCGCAAATTATTGAAATGTACTTGTTCCAATATTTTAGTTTGATATAATACATAGACAATAGAGTGCATGACAAAATCAATTGTTTGTTTTATATCAAACAAGTTTATTTATGATATATATACAAAGGAGTAATATGTCTAACTTATACTAACTATGATCGTGATTATTATTGCTTGTTCGAGTTGTCCTATTTCTGCATATATTATTTCGATAAGGCACCTAATTTTATTTTTGTACTTATGATATTTATAAGCAAGCATTTACTTAAATTTTGTTGTCTGTATTTATTTTGCTGCTAACACGCTTACGATCACACATTTATCTAAACCCGTATGGTGTACTAGTATCATTGTACCTGTTTATGTTGATGTGAGCTGAATATTCCTTTCAGGACGTCCTGATCTGGTATACATTCCTCAGACGGAAGTGTCAAGACAACTTCTAGCTAAAGAGGAAGTGGTTCGTCATTTACAACAGGTATGTTTTAGATGTTTAATGGATTCCTAACCCGAACAAAAAATGATATTGCTCTGTTTCATATACTGCGCGGTGTTATTTGTAAAATGTCAGCAACGTTAACATTATATCCCTGCTGCGGTAAAGATGCAGTAATATATATTATCCTTCTGCAGAACCATCACAAGTTTATAAAAAAAGAATGATGGCTCAATATTTTGCCTTGAAGGTATATCATGAAGTCGAAATTCCTGTTAACGATAGTTCCTTGTTAAATACCAAAAGCCAAAATATATGTGAATGTGAATGTAAAAGGTTTATGTGTAGTGTGTCCTGTGAGGTTCCTGTATTATGGCCCGCTTAAACTATTCCTTAATGGGATGACAACAAGGTTCGTTGTTGTACTGGGGCACGGGTGGCCCTGTCGTCAAAGGCGCCTCAGTTAGCCGTGTATTGCGCAAATAAACCTATCATTGTGGATTGGAATCCCGTTTCGCCCCAAAATATTATATTTCTTAGTCTGTCAGCATCACACCTGTGCTCAAGCGTTTCACCAAAGTGGTAGACCTACATTACATTACTTCGGGCGTTCCTACCACGTTAAGCTGACTCATCGTGATCTAACTGGAATACACAATGTACTGTTAAAGGCGGCCTTAAACACAACTCACTCACTCACTCACTCACTCACTCACTATGTTGCACTGCAGCAGCTGGAGCTCCAGAAGCAAGAATATGAAACAAATGTCTTCCACAAGAGCGAACAGATTGCAAGAGAACTCGATGAGGCAAGGCGAGGGAAGATAAACGGTACATTTATTTGTATTTCATGTGTACTATTGTGGTCTTTGGTGAAGACTGATTCTTAGATGAAATAAAACTAATGTTGTTAACTTAATGTTGAAGAAAACCATTAAAACAAACTGTTTAACCACAATGTAGACAATGGCTCCAGTTTACTTAAACCAATGCGGCATACGGTTATACGTATTTAACATTCCATTCATAGCCGAAAAGGAATTGGAGGGTCAGATAACAAGGTGCCACCGTCTCGAGGAACATATAGCCACACTGGAGAAAGTAAGAATATGACTTTGTTTTGTTTCCTAGTTTTTCCAAATGGATATCACTGTTATTAAATGAACTTCTGACTTGTTATCTATCATTTATAGACATGTCGTGTAAAGCATAATTATTTCTGCATGTTGTTTGTTTCACAATCCAGTGATTGATATCATAAGCATTGATTCACGCAATTGGGATACGATGACATACATCAACCAAGACAGCGAGCCTGATCACCCGATCCCGTTAGTCAACTCTTACGACAAGCATAGTCGCTTTTTACGGCAAGAATTGGTTACAGAAGACCTATTCTAGCCCGGATCTTCACGGGTCTTCTGAATGTATATTATTTCAGAAATTCAGATAGGATTCTCTGAAATAGTAAAATAATTCTGATTATTAATGTATATCATTTCTGAACATTGACATAAATCCTATCTGAATCAAATATAATTTGTAAGTAGAGTATTGTATAAGTGCAGTTTACAGGCGTATTGTTTATCACGGACATTTTAATGACGTTCATAATAGTACATGTATATGAATGTATTTAAAGGAGATTAAAGACTTACAGTCAAAGTCGCTAGCTCTTCCTAGAATTGAGTTTGGGATGGAAGAAGAGAAACAAACAAGTGTCATCGGTAAGCCTGGTTTCTGCATTGTAAACTGTACTTCGTTTGAAGCCATACACTGTATGTATTAGTACCTAACTTTTAAACTACCACTCATGTTAATCATTTTCGTAACATATTTTTATAACATTGTGAACAAAAATGACAAAGCAGAACATTTCGAACGTAACTAGGACAAAATAAATGATTAACCAATGGAGTTTTCATTGTATGATAGATTCGATTATCATATAACTGTGTTTCAACTTCCTAGCTTTGCTCATGTTCTCGGCAATATTCATATTCGGATAAGCAGCTTGCTAAATCAGAATGATATGCATGACGGAATAATGTGTTGTTGATTTGGGCGTGTGTGATAATAGGTACCACAACAAGCCTACCCGGGAACCCTGTACTTATTTAAAACAAACCGCAAATAGATAAATGTTGTTCTGATTAAACAATTTTTAAATGCAGCAAAAATACCAAAATTAACAAAGTAAGTTTTAAAAGTTGCTTGATATAAATAGATTTGGTTTCGATAAATTGGCTTCCCTACCCACCTTGGGTGAGCGAAAACGGCCTAACAATATGTTTCATATGTTGTTATATGTATGTATTGTTTATATTTTCCTGTAGGTAATATTGATGCAATGAAATGTGCCTTAGGGACCTCCGAGGCATGCGACCCTAAACAAGGCCTTGTCCTGACTTGTCTTCACACTGTGTGTGCGCCCTGTCTTCAGCAGCATAGAGAGAACACCTTTATCTGTTTCTGCGGGCGTGAGGCCGCTTGCAATGCGGTTAAGCAGGTTGATCATGTTCGACGAAATGAACTAACCCGTGATACAAATATCCGCTGTGGATTCTTTGAGGAACCATGCGAAGGTGTAGTGGTCTCGTTATGCAGGGATTGCCAAAAATACCTGTGCCAAAGTTGTACACAGCTTCACAAGAAGATCAAGACAAGTACATTTCATGACGTAGAGAGTATTAAGGGATTTCCTGAAAATCCAAATTTTGAACAGTTCAAGAGACCAATATGTGATATCCATTCTAATCAAAGTGTGATGTTCATAGACCATGAATGCCAAAAGGCCGTATGTAGCGTTTGCCATTCAAATTTGCCTGCTGATCATGACATAAGCCTCATTGACGACGAGTACCAAAAACAAATGACACTTCTGAAGCAGGTGATCGCAGATCATACAGGAAATCTACAGAGCTATCAGGCCTCTCTCCAGCAAAGACATGGAGTTTTGGACTCCCTCAATAAGCGAAGGACTGGTTTGCTTCAAAATCTGTCCAACTCTTACGAAAGCAGCGTCTTAGCCCTAAAGGATCGGTTCAAAGATCTTAGACAAAACACACTACTTGAAATAAAAAGACTGCAAGATGCCATCAAACAGGATATTAAGTCTTTACAAGAAACACAAGCTGCGTTCAGGATGACAACTGACTACGCCCAACGATGCTTGAACGTTGACCAGGTGCAATTGATTGCCCTCGCACCAATGATAGCCCAAAACGCAGTGGAAGATAGGAAGCGATTACTACCAAAATGTACATTACTGAATAAGGACATTGTGTTCTCTCCTCAAGGACTGAGGGCATTACATTGCCTGATACACAGAGTCGGCGACATTATCTGTAAGGAGAGAGATACAGTTTACAGGGATGAAGTGCCAACACTTAAAGGTAAGATGAAGTTTGTTATTCAATTTAAATATTATACCAACACATGTGGGCGTATATATGCAATTATGAACTGTCATAATTTGAATGTAAGAGTATTTTGAATGCCAATATTTCGTAAGCGTTCCCTCCGCACAGTGAAATGTATTTGTGAATGCTATAATTATCGCATGGTGACCATTTTCAGTTCATGACCATTTCGTAGCTATGAATACATACATCACAAACTCACACTATGAATTATGTTTCTCAGGATAAAGAAACATGTTTGTTTTGTCTAGATCTACAACAACAGAATGGTGTCTTGCAACGGACAATTGCATCACTTACTGACGAGTACAAAATAAAAGAAGCCAAAAGCAAGCAAGTGAGTTTGAAACTGTCTCAGTAATCGGCACATCATAAACTACCGATATTTGATGGTTCTGAGTTACACCTAAGACCACAGCAAACTGTTTCTTTTTTCATAACCTGATCTATTATACTTATGGAACAAGTGAGCAAAAACTACCACATAATTAGACGGTAGACGGTAAATCTGAAGCATTGTGTTTAAACGAGTCCTTGAAAGTTGGGTTTGTTATAAGTTGTAATAACCTTATAATGTTTATGTTTGGTCTAGGCTGATTATAAAACATAGAATTTGTTGTCGGGGAATTAGCGTGGGACTGCACAACTTAAAACAACCAAGAGAAGCATCTATTAGTGGCCAGTTTCTTTTTTCGATGTATCTCATCAGTGAGGTACCCCGAATAATGGCGTCTGTTGGAACTGGGATAGAAAAAAAGATGGATGGATGAATATATATGGTTGATCAAAGAACGTTTTGATAGATGGATCAGTGTATTGTCAATGGGTGTGCATGCAAGATATAAGGGGCCATTATAACCTAAGATGTTGTTTTTTTTCTTTTCAGGAAAACGATCTAAGACGTGAAGCACTCTCGTTGCTGAATGAACAACTGAAACAGTATGGTAAGTATGGTACTAGATGGAACATGTTATTAACGTGATTACTATTGTGAAAAATAACACTTTTTACTTTGTGATCATGTTATCCACAAATATGACGTACACGTATCCTTTCCGTAGGATTCTACATCCAAGAGCCGACGCAGTTAACAAAGACCAGCATCCTTCACTGTGAGTTATTCAGTTTATGAATATTCCCCACTGCTAAAAGATGTATTTTTCCAGTCCCTGTAATTCATCTTCAGACATCAGGGATGAATTGTGTTATTTTAAGTTAGCGAGCGTGAACATCATATTGCTCAGTGTGGCGTTAAACATCAATCGAGAGTCAATCAAAGAATTATAGCTTAAGGAATGTATTAGCAAACATTACGCTGCATTTCGTCCTTTGTATTAATATTCTGACCAGATGACCATATCTACAATTCACAGGCATTCAACTTGCGTTCAACAATGACAAGGTGAACGTCCACAAGGCTTACATAACCGCCAACAATGAACTGGTGAACAAGAAACAGTTTATCCGTTTTCAAGGTCAAGGAAGGCTTCAGCGATATATGGGCACCTGCGGTACACCTTATTTCCCACGTCCTGGCTTTCCTTGCTACCTGGAGATGGTGGCCAGGGTTGGTTTGAACAGGACCCTTACAAACAATGATCTCATTTTTGAGATAGGTATGTGCTGGGAAGATTATGCGGACACGGAACACACCATTTCGAAGTTGCCACATTCTTACAGCATGGCAGTGTCTCATTGCTCAATCCACAATCGCATCTGTCAAATGTTTTGGAAGGAGGAGAGGCATCTGCCGTGTCTACCTACTGAGACTCTCCCCAACACAACAGGGGCTCTTGACTCCCTACATATTGGTGTTGCTTACGATGATAGCAGGAAAAAGGTTGTGTTCATTGACGTGAAGAACAGCCAGGTCATGAAGGTACTGGAAAACGTGGACTTCAGTCAGCCACTGTTGCCGATGTTTGGCGTGTACAACCCTGAAAGAGTATCAGTTAGTATGCGTATTGTGACAGTTGGGAAGATGGAGATGTCAAAGGAGAAGATTAAACTTATCCTCAGATCCCTGTCATGAACAGACTCACGTGAGACATTGCATTGCTGGTTATGTGATGTCAAGTCAAGCCTCATGCTTAATATGTTCAGTCAGTATGACCTAACTGTTAACAACATGGTCACATTGTATATCATTTTACCTCAGTATACCACTTGAAGATGGGTATAATACAATCTGGTGCAATGCACCACATACTCAGCTATGCTTCCCTACCATCTCCCATGGTATTCAATGTACATGTATGCAATATACATGTAATCAGATGCATAGTACGATATCAATAATTATACACATTCTCCAATACCACATAAAAAGTCTTCAATACAATTTTATGGATGCTCCAATATAATCTCACCCGTGTTTCAGCATCATCTCACACATTGTTAAATATCACCCCATATATTCGTAAATACTATCCCACACATTCTTACATATCATGGTTAAGCTTGCTGACTCGTTGATGCATGTCATCAATGCTCATGATATTAATCACTGGATTGTGTGATCCAGACTCGATTATTTACAGACTGCCGTCATATAGCTGGAATATTGCTGAGTGCGGCGTTAAACATAAACAACAAACCAACCAACCAAGTTAAACATCATCTCCCACACACTTCAATCTCACCCTCAACATTCTTAAATATCATTGAACAAATCTGCTTCAATTTCATCTCACACATTCTTAAATATAATCCCACATATATTTCAGTTCAATCCCACATATTCTTAAATATTTTTTCCACACATTCTTAAATATCATTTCACACATTCTTAAATAATATTCCACACATCCTTAAACATCATTCCAGGGGCGGTCGGGTAGCCTAGTGGTTAAAGCGTTCGCTCGTCAAGCCGAAGTCCCGGCTTCGATTGCAGACATGGGTACAATGTATGAAGCCCATTTCTGGTGTCCCCTGTCATGATAGTGCTGGAATATTGCTAAAAGCGGCGTAAAACCACACTCACTGACTCACTTACTCACTTAAATATCATTTCACAATTCTTTAATACCATTCCACATATTTTTTAAATATCATTCCACACACTCTGACATATCATTCCACACATTCTTATATATCATTCCACACATTCTGACATATCATTCCACACATTCTTATATATCATTCCACACATTCTGACATATCATTCCACACATTCTGACATATCATTCCACACATTCTTATATATCATTCCACACATTCTGACATATCATTCCACACATTCTGACCTATCATTCCACACATTCTTATATATCATTCCTCACATTCTAAAATATCATTCCACACATTCTGACCTATCATTCCACACATTCTTATATATCATTCCATACATTCTGACATATCATTCCACACATTCTGACATATCATTCCACACATTCTTATATATCATTCCACACATTCTGAAATATCATTCCACACATTCTGACATATCATTCCACACATTCTTATATATCATTCCACACATTCTGAAATATCATTCCACACATTCTGACATATCATTCCACACATTCTTATATATCATTCCACACATTCTGACATATCATTCCACATATTCTTAAATATGATGCCACACATTCTGGCATATCATTCCACACATTCTTATATATCATTCCACACATTCTGACATATCATTCCACACATTCTTATATATCATTCCACACATTCTGACATATCATTCCACACTTTCTTATATATCATTCCACACATTCTGAAATGTCATTCCTCATATTCTCAAACAACATTTCACACGTTCTTAAATGTTCCACACATTCTTATATATCATTCCACACATTCTGAAATATCATTCCACACATTCTGACATATCATTCCACACATTCTTATATATCATTCCACACATTCTGAAATATTATTCCACACATTCTGACATATCATTCCACACATTCTTATATATCATTCCACACATTCCGACATATCATTCCACACATTCTTATATATCATTCCACACATTCTGAAATATCATTCCACATATTCTCAAACAACATTTCACACGTTCTTAAATGTTCCACACATCCTTATTTTGAAGTATCATTCCACATATTCTTAAATGATACAATGCCATCTCACAAATGCTCAAACACATTCACAAATGATTGAATATTATCGCTAAAATTATTTAAAGTTTAAGAATATAATGAATCCGAACATCACCTAGTGACAATATCTCCCACTGGTGAGTCGGTATCGTCTAACATAGACATGCATAGTTTATCTTTAACGTAAGGTAAAATAACATGACACAAACACAGCGCCACCTACCCCAAGCGTCAACAATACGAATGATACTGTGTACATACATAATCTTGTAAATAACTCCTAGTCAAATGGTGCTGTGTTCTTTTATATGTTCCTAATTGGTGGTTAACTTGATGGACACCTTCATTTTGTATAAATATTAAATCCGCAAACTTAATTATCACACATGGTATCTCTGTCATGTAAAAAATCCCTCGGTACGAAATGAGTCATGCATAATAATAGCTCAATACGGGAAATCCAAACCTGGCTGACCCAGCTGCCTATTTTTGTCGTGTATGCGCTGCATAAGAGCTTAAATAAATTGAGATAACACTAGATAAATAAAGCCTTTCAAGACACTAACTAAGTGTTGATTTATTTTGTTTCAGGGTAGAGTTGTCATCTTGTATTTGAAAGCTTTGCTTATCATAGATCATTGGGAGATAAACATACTGTGTTTTCGATGTAGAGCCAGGTTACCTGCAGATTAACCGCGCTAAATTGAATTTGGAACCGAACGCGCATACTACCATGACTAAATAAAACGCAAATATATTGACTAAAGGGGTATGAGTCCAGTGTTTTGTGTGTGTCGATCTGAATTACGGCATCACCGATAACGGCCAGTAAACTAAATATGACGCTGCATATGCCCAAACATTTTGTTTAACATATTAATACTTTACTCGAGCATGTGATCAGGCATTGAAAACATATAACCACGGCAACTTGGCAAACTAACATGAGGTGGGCATCCCTAAAGAAAACCATGCAAGCCTTGCAAGGCCGTCGTTCCACACCGCACGTCACCATTATGACGTCATATCGCTCATTGTGACGCAAATGATATAGTCGTATGTAGAAAAGCGCCAAATTCCAAGCTCTCTGTTGTCTCCAAAACTTAAAATACATTCTCTTTGTAGATTTCTATCGTGTTGTATGCACGAAATGTATTACCATACATCCTTTATATATTGTATTAACCGCATTTTGTAACCTGTTATTGTAGATATGATTATTTAAAAATGCCTACATAGTCTATGAATATTAGCTTCCGCGGTGATCAAACAAGCTGTTTCAATCAGAGGGGCTTTATTGTGATTTAATAGCCTCCGATTTAAACATCAGAATCCAGTAATTTCCAAGTTCATTGTAAATAAACACATGTCAAATTTGGGAATCGGATGTGACGTGAAAAAGATTGGGTTTTTTAAGTGCAAGATGTGTATATTCTGATGGGATAGACATAAAAAGCAAGTTGACTTTAACCAATACTTGACGGGGAACGCAATCTATTACATATCATCTGGAAGGTAAATAAATATCCGCCAGTTTACTTTCTCCCGTGATAAATCTATTATTTGCTTTCACTATTTCATTGTAAAATTACTATTCATTTCATCTCTCTGCATTCTGAAATGATTGTAGTTATTTTAACCAATCTGAGGATCATGCAATGTGTTATTATCGCGGAGTACTGGTTATGTTGAGTCGCTAAAGGCAGTTATATTTTACTGGCGCTTGAATAGTCTCATTAAAGGTGCACAACTCCATCGATCCTAATGTTTCCAATGGCCAGTCTGATCATTACAATTCTTCATTGTGTGCTGTATTGTATTTGTCTTATTTCTGTGATGAAAGAGTGAGTGAGCTATTGTTGTCGACCTGGATGGGAAGCTACTGTTCTTCGTTAATTGAAGATTTGATATTTAGTCGTATAAACATGCCAAACCTCCACTTTCGTTTACTATTATGTGTTGAGAAATAACGTATTTCACACGAACGAATGTGTGGGTACATTTAGAGTACACTAAATATTTCTGCATGTACTCGCACATGGATATGCATAACATAACACACAAAGACACAAAGACACACACACACACACACACACACACACACACACACACACACACACACACACACACACACACACACACACACACACACACAAAGCATAAACATACACATACACACGCACTTAAACACACACATGCGCACACACTCACTCAAACAAACACAGACGAACACACACACACACACACACACACACACACTCAAAGCATAAACATACACATACACACGCACTTAAACACACACATACACACACACTCACTCAAACACAGACGAACACACACACACACGACCAAACACACGCAAAAACACACATATACACAAAACGCACACATACACACAAACAAGCACACACACCTTACATCTGTGCTCAAAGAAAACTAGTTTCTAAATGTCGCTTTCAGAGACATCGTAATGTCGGTGCTTATATAAGAAATATTCCAACTAAAAAATAGTTTTCAATTTTCGAATCAGGATCAGGCAATCCAGTGATTGATGTAATGACCAACGATACACGACGCCGATCAACCAAATCACCAATCATCGGGATCCATTAACTCGCCTTTCACGATTAGCGTCCTCACTCGTCATCTCCGTGGGGTTATTCATTCTGTACCACGTGAGCCTGGCACACATAGTTAACGTTTTTTTGTTTGTTTGTTTGTTTGTTGTTTAAAGCCGCTCGCAGCAATATTCCAGCTACATGACGGCGGTCTGTGAATAATCGAGTCTCCACCAGACAATCCAGTGAATGGCATCATGAGCATCGATCCACGCCATTGGGATCAATGACATGCATCAACCAGGTCAGCGAGCCTGACCACCCAATCCCGTTAGTCGCCTCTTAAGACGAGCATAGTCGTCTTTTACGGCAAGCATGGGTTGTAAACGACCTGTTCTACCCCGGATCTTCACGCGTCCACATTTAAAGTAAATATAGACAAGACTAGTGAGTTGACATTCTCTATCAAGGCTAGGTATGTCAGCTGGTAGCAAAAAACACATGGTCACGATCTGTCATATTTATTTTTCTGCCATCAAGTGATATCTCAATTTTTGTCATCCACCTTTTACAATCTTAAACCTTCATGGAATACATCTGTACCTAGAATTGTGTGCGTCAAATATAACAGCCTTGTTTTATCGACCACATTTCATTTGCCTCCGCGTTTTCATTACATTTCTGTCGCGAAAATAAAACCGAGCGACCTCTGAAATGAGGCAATAAAATCAGCCAATCAGACGCGATATAAAATTTAGTCACCGGAAGCAAATTACGCGGTTGTTCTAAAAATCGATACTTATTACGTCGTCGGGATGAAGGGTTGTACAAAGATCAGGCTGCACGATTCAGACAATAATAAAGAATATCATTATAACTTGCATCTTAATTTGAAGACACATTATTCTTGCTTAATGGAGGTAAAGAGAATGAGTGTATCGGGGCGCGCTGCATACGTTTCAAATAGGCGGTGGGTAGCCTGGTGATAAAAGCGTTCCCTCCTCACGCCGAAGGTCAAGGTCAAGGTACAATGTGTGAAGCTCATTTCTTGTGTCACCCGTCGTGATTTTGCTGGACTATTGCTAAAAGCGACGTACAACCATACTCACCCACTGAGGTTAAAAAACGTGTCAAATATAAAACATTAGTTTATCAAAATATCTTCTTATTTGCATTGACGTGAAAATATGTGACTTCTTAACATTTCATGTTTTTCAAATCAGCCGTATATTCCGGGAATGAATAGGTTTGAGGTAGGGGAAATATGAGGACTGGTCAGTTCCAACAGTTCTAAGCCTAACAAACAAAACCAACAATTGTGAAAGTGGTTTTTTTTATGTATCAACATAATCTTGCTGCTTTTCCATACACATCTCATATCGGTAGTGAAGTTTTCATTGCACCAGATTGTATTACACACATCTTCAAGTGGTAAAATGATATATAATGTCAGGGAGAAGTTTTCTGAAACCACCTTGAAAAAAACATTCACGGCAACCCTGAGGTCACCCTTGACGTCAAAGCTTTTCCACGAAGGTGTTCCTTCAGTTTAGGAAACTGGTGGAAATCAGTCGGTGCCAGTTCTGGGGAGTATTGAGGGTGAGGAAATCTCGCACAGCAACCTTTGCAAGTCGAGAGATGTGAGAAGAGACATTTTCATGAAGTAGTAGAACTCCAGCAGTCACCATTCCGTGTCGTCCTTCTTTCATAGAATATTTCAGGGGATGCCACAAATAGTAGGCACGCATAATCATCTTTTGACTTTCTCAGTAATCAAGAGTGAGTGAGTGAGTTAATGCTTTACGTCACATCGTCGATATTTCAGCCATATCGTGACGAAAGTAATCACGAAGGATCATCCCAGAATAAAGCGGCCATAACTTTCTTCACTGATCATGATAAAGGTATGGTTGTGAAAAACACAGGATGTTGTTGTCGTGTCTATCTGTTTGTCACGATACAGTGCTGACACTCGCCCTTCACCTGGCATACAGCACAACATCTGTGTACGTACGTATATGCAACCCGATCGGAACTGTTAACTTATATGCATCAGGAAGTAATTATAGAATATATATATATATATATATATATATCCAATGTCACGCTGATCCTGACATGGCGTATGCTAAGTTAGGTGTTGACAAAACAAGGTTCACAATTTGTCAGTAGAAATCGGGATTCAGCTGCTCCTGGCTGAACAAAGGGCCGCAACCCAGCCCTCACAGCAAAATAAGGCGCCTTAAGGTTCCCGTCCACAGGGAAGCAGCTCATAATTATGTCTCAGCTGCATTCCATCTGAGACAAGGGCGCCTCCTTTGGCTGCCTTGACCTTTCTACCTTGGTAGCAGTTATGACATTAACTATATTCTGCTTAGTATTAGCGATTGATTTCTTTTGATCATCACATTGACGTTTGTTAATATGGCTGTTTTATGACGCATCGTGAAAAGACGTCATAACACTTCAGTTGCCGAGGAACATGATAATTACGTCGTCTTACGCACACATATAAATATATTCTTTTGTTCAGTTCGACATCTACATAAAATGTCTTTCGGATTCCAGTAATCAACAGACCCTCCTTCTACACGCATGTTCAGGCTATCGCTTGCCTATTACGCTGTCTAGACGGTTTGCTCATAGAACAAGGCTGGTTCGGAAGTTTGCCAAATCAATCTGCGCTGATGTCTTATGAAGTAAATAAAGACGCGCCTCACCGAAATCACAAACTCGCAACTATATTTGTCAAACACGTCTATGGAGGATGGAGAGAGAACGTTTACGTACCAACCCACATGTCCTGCACCGCTTTCATCAATATTCCAGCAATATTAGCGCGGGGGAAATAGACACTAGTTTTACACATCGTACCCATGTGGTCAAGCGAACTCGGGTCTTCGGCGAAAGCCTTAGCCTATAAGCTCGCGCCTCGAACCAGAATAAAGTCTGCCATGGGACATAAACCATTGAAATGTGTATTGAACTTGTTATTAAATAGTTAATAAGCATGTCAGACGATCACTATAGGATAACTGAAGTCACAGATGCGGTTTTTGAGTATCACTTGGATTTTAGGTTAAGAGTCATTTTCCAGAGTTTCAAAATTGGTTACTTTAGAATGAGTGAGTTTAGTTTAACACTCCTTGAACAGTTTTTTTAATAGAAATATTACAGCGTGTGAGCTCGAGCGTAATACGCAGGTCGTAGTAGACTTGAAGCACGATGTAGAAATTTACCAGGTGGAATCCTTGGATTCGACCCCAGGAACAGCGGGTCCTGGACAGGTTCCTATTTGGTTTTCCTAAACCATCTTAAAACATGTAAAGCGGACGCTGATATGATTATCGACTTTCTAAAATATGGTGTTCAACTCATATCCTTTTGAAAAAAAAAGATGTCGACATGACACAAGGTAGATGATGAATAGCTTGTGTCACAAGCACGGCTGGCGCTGTGGCAACAGCAAGACCTCCAGGTGAGTCCTTGACAACAGTTTCAATTCACATGTTTCTTCTCATTGGACCAGGATGAGTTCTCACATGTTTTCATGAATTATATAAATCTACAAAGACATGAAAAAGCTGTTTAGATGAACAAGCCAGCGCCTTTTCATTTGCTAAACACCTATTTTTAACCTAGTTGAAACAGTACCTGCCTTGTCGTCAATTATTCGCAACTAATAGGGACTACAATTCATGCCAATGCAACACCAGCCTATATAATATAACACCCCCAGTGTCATTATAATGAGATTGCAGTGAACGGGTGATGGATAATAGGTTTGTCAACACATTTGATCCTCTACACTGCTTTATCGTATTTAGCAGCCCTTGCATCCAGTGAGATCTGTCAAAACTTGATTAGGACTAATCCAATATCCTCCAATACCAGACAATTCGACAAACCCAAATTTACTACGGTAATTTATGTTCAATTTTTTAAATCTGAACTTCCTACAATCCTTCGGTCAAGAGGAATACGATTGTTTTAAGGGTTTGAATTGTAAACGTCGTAGATACAAAGACCTGACTCATGTATGAATTCAAGTATATATTATATTTGACCCTCTGTGTTCATATCGCTGACGTGGGCACGGGTGGCCCAGTCGTTTAAGGCGCCGCGATTCGCTGTGCAGAGTTGCGTCCCTTGGGCACGCCAGAAACCTATGATTTTGGGTTCGAATCCCGGTTCGCTCCAATTATGTTTCTAGGTTTGTCAGCACCATACCCGTGCTCGTGGGTTTCACCAAAGTGATAAACGTCTGAAACATGCATCACTTCGGGCTTTCCTCCCACATTTAGCTGGCACGCCGTGATATGACTGGAATACTGTTAAAAGCGGCGTTAAACCCAACTCACTGGACACAATTTCTGCTA